CCTGTCCCGCGGGCGGTCGTGGGCATACGTCCCGCAGATACTATGGGGGCGGCGGAGAGCGAGGGCTGGGTCCACTGCACCAACTAAACCAGGGCCCGCGTGTGCGGGCTCCTGCGACCGCAGGCGGCCCGCCTCGCCCGCACTCCCATCCCCCGCCACCCCACCCGACCCCACACACAACAGAGAGCGGGCCCGCACCTCGCCGTCGCCTCCCCCTCGCCCTCGCACATCGCCCAATCGCCCTCGCCTTCGCCCTCGCCCTCGCCCTCGCCCTCGGCCCTCTGCCCTCGCCCTCGCCCTCGCCCTCGCCCCCACGCCCCTTTCGCCCCCCACGACCCTCAGCCGCCGCAGCCCCCCCAACCTGCATGTGATGTCAGCCGGAATGAGCCTTAATACAGGCTTCGCGCACGCTCGTGTGTTGAGAGCATGGGCACCTGTAGTGTAGGAGCGTGGCTGCCGCAGCCATTGCTGACAGTCGTGTCCCCTGATTGTTGCTCACCGCGCGTCTGAAATATGCATACAGGGCAATTATGTATCGATCAGAATTTTCCAATACAGGTATTTTGCTGTCAATGAATCTGTAAATTATTTAACATTTCTTGTGGCATATTGTAATATCCTTGGCGACACATCTAAAGTACTATAATTTTACGCGACGCCTACAGAGTATTACCCGAACCAGGTACCTCCCAACAGCTTGGACCGTCCCAGCAGGGACAAGCTCTTAGGTTCCGGCAAGTGTTGTGGATGTGAGTTTAACAAGCGAGGTCAAGGAAGGGGAAGGAAAGATCGCGCGGTCCGTGGCCCATTTCTTAGAGTACTTCTCTGGCATTGGTCTGGTGTTGATCGGAGACACCACGGAAAACTACCCATCAGAACAGCGAGACATAGGAATGTTCCTCCAGGCAGGGAATGATAGTGTCAACCTAGCTTTCTAGATAGTGTCCATGATCTTGCCATCTTCGAGACTCGAGATCTAGCTCCTCCCGGTTGGAAGTACAGCAGCGTCATCAATTTATGCCCTGAGCCACATTTGCCAGTCTTTGTTTCGTGTGTGTGTGTCATTTTCAAGAAATCGGACGTGGTTGAAGGTAATTTTTCGCTTCTAAACTAGGATGTATCTTACCTACATTCTAATATAGTCTTAATCTATTAGAGAAGAACATTATACAGTCGGGTGCAAAAGTAGTCATAAAGTATGTATGTATGTATGTATTATTATTATTATTATTATTATTATTATTATTATTATTATTATTACTATTATTACTAATTATTACTATTATTACTAATATTACTATTATTACTATCATTACTATCATTACTATTATTATTATTATTATTATTATTTAAAAGTAGGTTGATAAAGAAATAATAATATATCAACTACAAGCTTATTCATTTTTGAATATCGATTTATGACGTCACAATACGGATGACATACAAATTTTAATTAAGTGCAATGCCTCAAGTGCTCAATGTCTTACGTGCTCAGCATTTACACAGGCTCGCCTTGTGGATAGGTTTAGGCTTTGAATAAAGCAATTACCATTTCATTTTCACGGGCAGTAACATTCACTGGTCGACCACTCTTTGAGGCCTTACAGATATGCAGTTTGATCAAATTTGTTTGGCAACCCGTAATTGGTAGTCTACTTGTTGAAGGGTTCTATATCCGTCGAACCTGTTTACCATTCTGTCTTCCGTATTGTTTAATTATCTACTTCCGTTGGTCATTGCTTAAATTACCAGCCACGATTATCTGATCATCTGAAAGAATAGAAAAACGGTTTTAAAACAGATAAAAATATAGTATACGGTCTGTGTAACTACGTGCTTTGTAACTACACGGGGGTGCATCGTAGAGAATAAAGTTCATTTACAAAAATAACTAAACTTAATAATCACTCAGTTAGCCTACGAACAAATGTGGCATCGCAATTATGATAGACCCAAACAACGAATTAAAATTTCAAAAGCTAAGTGTCTATATAGTAGCAATGAAGCTCTTTTGGGAGGTGAACCAATTAATTGATTTGCATGTGACCGATCGATAAAATAAAATAAAAATATTTGTCGAAAATGCAGTGTCTACTTCCCTAGCTAATCCTTGGTGTAACTAATGAATACCCAAGGGAGACTTTTACTGGTGAAATTTTTACCTGGCTCGTAATTGATCTTCTCTCAGCCTCGCGCTGGAACCTCGTTCAACTTGCCTTCTTTTGTAATGCAAATAGTATTTGTGCGGTATGAATTTATTTTTTCACGGCAAATAGGAGTGTTCAGGGAATTCTCGTTTTTTATTCGCTGGAGGGGCGAGACAATGAATGTTGCAGTGTTTCGGCGGAGCATCGTAAAGTGTAGTGGTTAAAGCTCTTGTGATAATAAACAGATTCTGTGTAACCCAATATAGAAGTCTCACATTTCACCAATACCATTCGGCATTAGGCTATCAAGATGGTAGAGGATTTAGAGACTGAACTTGTATCGTTTGCCAACATGAAAATCGAGGCAGTTTTATTTTTATAACGTAAAAATGATTTTCTAAAAAAATTGTCTTCTCGGCTACATTTTTTCTCGAATACAGAAAAATTCGCTTAATATAAAATTGGTGCGATTTTCACTAAAATTTTGGGAATTCTGGAAATAGCAGAAATGAATCTCGACCCCATTAAAAAACTCATAATTTAGCTAATGTAATAAATACAGAACATGCAAATGAAGACGATGATTTATTGACAAAAATAAGCATGTTGCTGCGACACGTCCATTTAATCTTTTTTACCATTAATATCAAGGCACATGTATATAACGTCGCGTTTGTGTTAATGTCCAGGGAGTAAAAAAAAAGTTTGTAGCGTGACTAAGAGGTGCCAAACCCATAAATGTTCAACAAATCGGTCCTTGTTGTTTTTGAGAAGTGAGTATGTGCCGCGAGTAACCATTATAAAACAACAATCTTTGCGAGAATTCTACACGCCGTGCTGTTCTCTAACTGCTCTTTAACGCCCAGCCATTTCACACGCCGTAACATCCTTCTCAGTCCTCGCGCTATTCGGAATTCCGGAGCACGCTTTGTAGCGAGCCATATGAACCTACGCTCGCTCGTTCATTAATGATAGTAGCATTACTTACGCGAAGCTGACAAGTACAAGACAAGTGGCGCTGATAGTCCGCAGGGGATGACAAGTGAACGATTTGTGGACGTGAACCTCCTATATGCGACCATAATTCACCACTACAGGTGGTCAGTGCGGGCTCCAGAGAATGTGACAACACTATGACGCATGCATTAACTCATGCGCGTTCTTCATGTGAAGTAGTTCACATCACAGAAGAAATCGAGTGGCCTCTTATGTCTCATCATATGCATGTTATCATCTTTCGGTTGATACTATGTATGCCGACGAAAAATATCATTTACCTCTCGTTGTTTATAAAAATATATTACGTATTAAAATAAATTAAAATATTTATCGTCATGTTAATCTTTGTTTTTGTACAAAAGTTCTTCTCTATTTCCTTTCAAAATCATATTAACATAACTTTTTTAAATTATTTCAAAAAACAATCGCAGATTTCGTAAAAACATATTGTAATGTCTGGACACGACAATTTAGTTTATCTTACAGAAAGCAGGATCTATGCTGTGTGGAAAAAAATATTTCGTAGGAATATCTAATCCATATAGATTTATTTACTTCGTCTAACATACTTATTATAAATCTTTGAGAGAAAATTGATATTTTATTTTATAGAAACTCTTTGTAATTGCATACTGTCAAGATTTCACTTTCAACACAAGTCTTGATATCGATAAAAAGAATTGCAGAACAAAACATGTAACAATGCGTTATATTGTAAAAGGAAACATTGAAATTGGATGGACTTAAACGTTCTTTCTGGAAAATAGCAAGTGTGGATTTGGAGGGATATATTTTACTAAGAAATCCAATTCGGTTTCTAACGGAGCAATGAGCATTTAAGAGTATTGCGAAAACGCTTTAAAGAGAACGAACGGTCAAGGAACGATTACATGCGAATAGCCGAGCGCTGTCTTTCTGCTAGCTCGCTACACGTCTCGTTCTACCATACAAGAGGCGAATTGACAATCAGAATGACCAATCTACGGAATACCTCAACGTCGTCATAATTCAGAGAGGCTAACGAGCTGTTTGCGACAGTCTGCCGCCTCGGATTGGAAGCGAGGACGTCGCGTGTTCCCCGCAGTTCACTCACTGCTGCAGTCGGTCACCGCAGCGATAGGAAAGGGAAAGGATATTTCTTGAGGCAACGACCCTTGGTTTTGGATGGAACTGCACTTATTTTAGGTAGCGTGGCCCAGAAAATTAATTAGATCTGTTGTTTCATTGGTTCACTTTATTTGTAATCCGCCTCAAAGATTCTGAAATTTCGTTGCTTTATGGTTTGTAAATCTATGACCCGGTACTTGAAACCTTTCTTTCTCGTTCGAGCGGTTTGCTGAAGACTAAAAATAGGGCAATGTTTTTAACATGTCATTTGTAAGTTTCTTCCACCTTGATAACTTTTGAACTAATTAACACATGTGTCAGAGAAAAACAATATATTTTGAGAGCTAGATACAGAAGCTCTATACAATGTTTCCAAATAATCCGTATTTTGTGTTGTAGTCGTACAAATAAAAAAGTATTAATTTTTTTCAACCAATTTTGTCCTTGAAAAGGTTTAAAACCTTTACATTGTCACACAGAACACACACCAGATCACACAGCGATCAGAGAAAAATCTATTTAGGCCAACATAATATTCGATGCTTTTCATTAAATCTAAAAATCGCGGATAAACAATAACTTGTTTCCACCATCAGAGCGTCCAGATATGCGTCGAAAAAATGGCAACTCTCTCCTCCCTTCTCTTATCTCCTCCCTCTCTGAGATCCCTCCTCTTTCTCTCCATCCCCTCTTCTCTCCATCCCCTCTTCTCTCCATCCCCTCTTCTCTCCATCCCCTCTTCTCTCCATCCCTTCTTCTCTCCATCCCTTCTTCTCTCCACTCCCTTTTCTTTCTCTGAACTTCTTACTATTGGGACCCGGGTTCGATACCCGACTAATCCATGTGAAATTTTTTGGGGGACAAAGCCGCGACAGATTTTCGCGTTTTCATGTTTCCCCAGCGTCATTCCGTCGTTTCCCCAAGCTAGGTCGAGTTCCCTCGCTGTCTGGAGGAGAATTTTATCGGCCCGCTGCTCTGATCGGTAGTTTGCCGGCTGCTATCCGTGGTTTCTCAGATCAACACAAGGCGAATGCCGGAGCACTACCCTACCAAACGGGCAACGGACAGCGTTCGATACTTCCTGCCCATTCCTTGCCCTATCCTACCACTCACACACACATGTATGCACTGCAATACCACACATGTCAGGAGACCGGTCGAGAACTTAGAGTTAGTCCCCGCTGGGTCGGTGCCCCACAGACGGGAGATATGTTGTTGGGGAAAACCCACTAGCCGACAGTAGGTCGGCGCCGCATCTTGTCAATCAGCGGGACAAGACCGATGCCACCTCCCGATTAGAAATATACGCTACTTTTACGGAAGTAATGGCCGTAGGAGATGACGCGCCCGGAATCACTAGTAATCAATCAATCAATCCTAGATTCACAGCGCCATGTTTATCGGTATGAGCTACTTATTAGTTCACCCATTAGTGGGTGTTGACATGAGCTGTTGAAGGACCACTGAAATCTCCAAATAAACTCTTCTCCTCTCCTTTCCACGATGATTAAGCCCCGATTGGGCTGTGACCCGCCCTCCGCGTTCTAGGAGCATGGCGTTGAGATTAGTATTATCGGGATAGAGGTACAGCCCAGTCCCGGGTGCCCAGAATGGCACACGGTGACAAAGGAAAGAGCACCCGGTTCCTCCCCTGTTGCTTGAGATACTTTTCCTGCATTGGCCCAGGAACTCATCGGACGAAACCGACGGGACTCGAACTCAGTATGCCAACCTTCAGCCACTGCCTCACTACTTGACATGCCAAATCGGCCGCTTCCACTGACTTTCACTGCCGGCAATGCAAACATCACATCACCGTGGGCTCCCCCAGCTGCGATAGAGGACGCGCCGCCACAGAGCGGCGG